TTGAGTGTTCCTGTGTAATTACGGGGTATTTAGCGTAATGGTAAGCCAATGTAAAGTTTTATTCTTGGAAATGTGCTTGAACATATATTGCATACTGTAATTCTAATTATGGGGGTGTTCGTTTTTTGTATGCAACTGTTAACGGAATTGTATGTGGATAATTTCAAATGTGCGACACAATATATATATATATATATATATATATCTATATATTATATATATAATATATATATATATAATACGTTTTATCCCACAATCCTGCATTAATTTTAAAAACTCATAAACCGTCGTAATATATGGGTTGGGAATCGTACTGATTAGTTTTTCGTGAAAATCGGCTAGGCTGTTTTCTTGTAATTAACTATTACCGGCGCTTTCCATGATAGATTTGTTGATGTTTCATAATCAAAAATTGTTTCATGAGAAGCGTTGGCTGAATCATGGTCTTATTGAAATTAAAATATTAGGGTCCTACGACAAGTTGTTTAATTTTAAAAATTCTTCAAAGTTTGACAAAATTACCAGACTATATTGAGTTTTATTAAAATTAGACTTTCCATCGACGTTTTCTCAAAAACGGCTGCTCCTATTTCAAAAATTCAATACCCATTCGATGAGATTGGTTCTTCATGTAGTTTTTAGGAATTACACGAATGTATATATGCAAAATTTTAGAAATTTTCGTATGTTATTTTGGGTATGGTATATATATATATATATATATATACTTCAATAAAACATTTTTAAAAAAATCTCATACAGCAGATTACATCCGAAATACGAAATCGTATAATGGACAATATTTATTCCTAATGAAAATCTGGCGGAACAGCTTATGAATATACATAGAAATTTCATTCTCTGAGCTCCAGATGTAGCAGTAATGCAAAAAAGTTTATACTTTAATGTTTCCATGGATTTCGATTAAAATTCAAATGGAAATTTTAAATCTTTCTCATAATTTACATAATACGAGTTTTGTAGAAATATGCAGGATATTAAAAGCGACCTATATATACCAATTACCATAATGGTTGTCAATTATAACAAGTATTATGAATACTTTTAAAACTACTATTTATTTCATACGTGAATTTAAGAAGATATTATTTTACTTATTGCTTTAAATAAAGTAATATATTTTTAGCACAACTACCATATCTTTCTTTTCGTCAACAATCAGCTTTACAACAGTTTTTTGCTCTTCAAAAAATATTTCTATCTACTTACAATCAGCATTACAACAGTTTTTTGCTCTTCAAAAAATATTTCTATCTACTCATAAAATGAAATAAAAAAACTGAAATAAAAACTTCTTAGTTTCAGATTTTCTAAATATATTTATAATGTGAATTTCAAAGTTATAATTTTGTCAGATTATGTTAAACATGTACGCTTAAAAAGAAATAATTTTTTGGTATTTTGAACAACCAAGATTTGTTTAGAGCTAATATTATATATGCTATTGAGATAACAACTAAGTTACAGGAAATTTTAATAATAATGATAGCTTCAATATCAATAAGTCAATAAGTATCCTAATAAATTCATAAAGAAGTAGTTTGATCATTTTATTGTTAGAACAACTATATTGTTTTCCATCATCATTTTTTTTTTATTTGTTTATGATTTTATATTGACTATAAAATAATGTGACTGTATACTATAGATTTTCATGCTATTATTTCAATAATGTTAATAATAACTTCAGTAATTTATTTTTCACATAACATGTATCTAAGTTGGACAAAATCTTTGATTAGTTGATGCTTTGATACTTTTTTCTTCAGTTTAATTTTGAACATTACTTTTTATATTCTTTACTTACCAATTTCATTTTCGACTGGAAAAATCGATAATTCAATTAATGTTGCAATATTGCCGTTAAAATTGGACCTTAAAAAAATTTCTATTTTTAGTTTTTTATTCGGAAATCTGCAAAATGTAGTATAAAGTAATGTAACTACATACATTGTAAGACTATTTGATTTTTAGTAATACTTTTTTTTGCTTCACCAATTCATGTTTGGACACTTTTATTTAAAAGTTTCGTAACTATATTTAGAATTTTTTGATGAAATAATACAATACAATTTTTATATAATATATATCGTATATCTACCGTATTATCAAACATTAAATCATATTTCCACATGCTACAAAAACCTACAATAAAGATACTCATACACAAAAGAAAACTTTAATTTAACAAGAAGCGTAAGATATTTTATTTTATTAAAATACCGCTGCTGTAATTCATTCTGTCTGCTCGTGGGCACTTTCATGCTCAGATATAATTGCATCTTATAAAATATTGTTATGAGAGAATAATTCTTAATAACAACACAATAATTCTAAAGAAAGTTCATATGAAAACCAGATGAATCTGAACGTTCCTCCGCCGTATATATTCTTTACCGTAATATACCGCATGAGCAAGCATCTTGTGCACACAAAGGAATGTTAGAATGCATTTATATAATATAACGATGTACATACACAACTCGTATGAGTACAAAAATAGTGAAAAATTAAAAAGAAAACGAGAAAATTCAAGCAGTTATTCGGCGTTTTGCGAACTTCGCGTGTAATAAAATTATCTGTGAATGCAAACCATGAAGTGCTTCAGGATAATAATATTTATGTACAATTCTTTATTCAATTTATGAAACGAGAAAATACCAAAACCAGTATGATGGGCTAATTAATTTACAAATTTTAAATGCCAATACACATATTTTATATTCAATATTATTATTATTCATAAAGAAAAAATTTGTTTCCACCAGAAAATCTAATTTAATAATTTTACTTTCTCGACTTCTCTATTTGTGAAACGAGGGAATACAGAAACTACTAAATTTTAAAATTTTAATATAATTATTATATATTTACTATTAAAATAATCACAAAGAAAAATTAATATTTCATCGAAGATCGGATTTAGAAATTTTGCTTCTTGTAATTTTTTTAACAAAAATTATATACCAGTCGAAAATCGTGGCGATTAGTTTCTGATAAATATCTGCTAGGTCGTTTCTTCTAAACTCATTAAAAAAAATTAATTTTTCGAAGGTATAGTTTATGTTTTCTCCAAAAAATCCGATTAGCTAGTTTATGTTTTTGGCGTTTCAAGTGATTCTGAAAAAGACTGTGTGTTTGTATGTGATTTTCCTATCTTTATGTAAAAATAAAATAAAAGTAATTCTTTCAAACTATATAAAAGTCATCGCGTTTACGACATTATAGGCATACAAAAGTTATTATAATATAAAAAAAACTGAAAAAATAGCTTATAGGATAATATGTAATTTTGATTGCTATTTATTAATTAATAAAAAAATAATAATAATAATATAGAAAACAACAAAATCTGCGCTTATTAGTTTAAAAATATCTATATATAAAAATTAAAATTAGTTTAAAAATAAATATATATAAAATTTAAACTCGCATTAATTAGATTTAAGTGTAAGAAAATCAGTTAAAAATGTTATTTAAATAGCTAAATATCAATTTCTGTTTATTAAGTCGAGAATTTTCCCAAACCGGACAATTCATTTAACCTTGAGGCAAATTGCCATTTACACCTAGTTTCACGATTTCTATGAATCTTTGCATCGCAGTACAGTTCATAATCCTCACGAGCATGTTAAAATATAATAATTCTTCGGAAATCTTTAAATGGATAAATTTGAAATATGGACATGGATAAATTTTAAAAAGATAATTTCCATTAGTATAAAAATATATTAAAATTGATTGATTATAAAACTATAGAAATATCGTGACATTTTATTTTATAAAAACTCGAAGACAATGCTCAGTTAATTGCCACATATCAACAGTTCATGATAATAAAATAATTATCTAAAAGAACTAGTATATTTAACAAATTTCTTCATAATTGTATAAACTGCAATAGTTTTTCACACTATAAAATCCTTCAGCGACTAATATTTATATTTTTTCATTTTTAACTTTCCGTAGGGTGAGTTATAGTAATCGCAAATAAACGAAATGAAAATTTTTATATATCTTAACGTTTCAGAGGTTTCTGAATATTTTGGCATACCTTAGAAAAAATTGATGTATGTATGTGTGTGTGCGTGTATGTATGTGTGTGCGGAAACAAATTTTGTCGACGATTTTGGGAACACGAATGAAGCGATTTGAATAATTCAAAAAACATTAGATTCGTATTGATAAGGAGACGTGCTGATTCGGTTTTGGCGAAAGCAGGTCTAGCCGTTCCGAAGGTATGGGGCAAAAAGTTCCAAAAAAGGTAACTCAGTTGAATAATTCAAAAAACATTTTACTTGTATTAACAAAATGAAGAACTGATCATGAAGGCAGGTCTAGCGGTTTCGGAGATCTAGTAAAAAATATTAATCTTTAAAAAAAAAATTTGGTATGGGAAGTTCCAGCAATTTGCCTTAAGGCACGATGCCATGCGCCCCACTAGTTTAATATTAATATTTATAGAACAGAATGATACAATTATAGATATTAATGGTACATAACTTAAATTAATAGATAATAATACATACTATATTAAATGAAATATAATTTAAAATTTAAAATATAATATAATATAATATAATTTAAAATCATTATTTATGTTCAGAATGCATTTTATAATACTTCTGTCACATAATATTAAATAAATCCAAATTGCATCTAAACCACCTATGGTTGCGCAAAATAATCAACTTGGCAACGTTGTCTTTGTGGATGGTATAATTTTTGACAGAAGTCTATTGCGTATGATCTTATCAATTGCACCCTCGTACGCTGTGACGTAGATCGTGACGTCATTGTGTTTTTGGATTCGTTAACCAATGTGATAACACCTGTGTAAGGACAATTGATATAAAATATTGCAAATTTAGTAGTCGAGATGCACTCGAGGTGTGCAGGTCGTTTCGTCGGTCGGCCGTCGTTAAAATTTGCCGAATGTTTTTTGTGTGTCGTTTTTATTGTGTAGTGTGTAGTGTGACATTATTATATTGTATTAAGTAAATTTGCAAATAAAATGGTAAATAAACGATTTTATTTATTACTTATCACAATATATTATGGAATTTTATCGACATGTTTGTTCAGATTTGCCCAATGATTTTTGGTCCAGATCGTCATTTTGTCCAGTCATGTGTCGTGTGTGGTGTTTTCACAAATATTTGCAGATAAAACGGTAAGTGAACGATTACACTTATTCCTTGTTACAATATAACGCAGCGTGTGGTATTTTTTTCCTTTTTTTCTTTATTTATTATAGACAATCAGAAATACAAATTTCTATGAGCCTATGCGATCCAATAAATATGACATTGAGAAGTATCTTCTACTGATGAGATTCCCTTGTAGATAATCTATGTTAATAAAATAAATCAATGTTAATAAAATATATCTATGTTAATGAATAATCTATGTTAATAAATAATCTATGTTAGTAATATAACAGAGCTTTAATTAAGTTAGTAGATCTTCTGGCCATTTTCTTTTGAGCGTTCTAGTTGGATCATGATTTTTGATTAATTGCTTGGCTGGATTTGGATGGTGGTCTAATCTCATATGGTATTATCTTTGCTGAATTACTTCTTTTACGGTCAGTATGTTTAAATCTGAATGAACAGTGTTATTCGAAACGTACCATGGTGCATTAACTATTGCTCTTAAAATTTTATTTTGAGTTCGTTGGATAATCTTTATGCTGGACGTACTTGCATATCCCCATAGTTGAATAGTGTGGTATTTTGTTGCAAAAATCATGGTTTTGACGCTGAAGTCTCCTCGATATTGTTGATGATGCATTGCTTTTTGTTGAGAGTGTACGCAGGTACGATGAAATTTTGTACACAGGTTGATTGTATGATTTTAATACACATCCTAAGACTAAGCCGAGGATGGCCGAAGAACTCTTATATGCGTTTGACGAAGGCAGTTGTTAGAGCGGAGGAACGCATATATGTGTCCCAATTAAATATATGCCGATGGGCGAGGAACTCAAAGTTAATAAACCAAACTGAATGTTAAAAATATGTTTTATATGATGTCGAATAACCATTTTATTGATCCTGTTGAAAATATATGTATATAAATATAACATCTTCAGAATTTGAGCCAGAAATATGCGTTGGCAATTTTAAAGGGTTACACCACTGTAGCAGCAGTTACACCACGTATGATTTTGCTATTTTTTCGGACGGAAAGAAAAGTATTAAAATCATGATACTAAATATATTTATTTATTGTACTTTAAAGTAACAAAATAAAATATAATAGTAAAAAAATGGCGGTAGCACAGTCATTTTGGCTAACTGTAATAACTACAACAATTTTAATTTTTTTCATACGAATTTTTTAATGCATGTGACTAAGGCGACAGGAGCTCTTCACCACAGGACGGTTTATTATAGGCCTATGGAAAATGGTTATGTAAATAAAATACGTAAAAATGTATCGATCTTCAGAACATAACTAAGAAGAAATAAGTTCATCAGAACATTAGAGACATCGATTATTTCATTTAAATTCTTCATAATAAAATAAATTCAACATTGTGCATGTCAATAATTTTTCATATTTGTAGTATTCAGATTTTTTACGTTTCTATTATTTTTAAAAGATCGTACTCAAGTATTGTTAGCATTTGATTAAATGTATACAGTTAAACTTCCGATAACGCGGTTTTTAACCTTTCCATAGCACTACATTCCTAAAACACGGTTTTTACTCTGCGTCTCATAAGTTCCTTTCTAGGAACTAGTAAAAGATTTTAATATAGGTTTCATTATCAGGGCTCGCCAGTAGATAAGCGGTTAAGAGCGACGAGACTTGTTTCAGAGGTCCCGGGTTCGATACCCACTTCAAACAGCCTGTTGTCAGGCAACAGTGACAACGATTTTCACTTGGAAATATAGATAGCAATATGTTTCCAAGTAAAAATAGCCCTTGCCGCACCAATAAAAAGTCAGCCATATTAGATTAATTCTAATAACAAAAATCATAAAATATGGATGGATTAACCATTGGGTTACCATCTAAAAATACGAAGTAAGGAGAAGTTTCAGCCCAACAGCTCATAGGACGTAAGGTTCTGATTGCTGTTAAAAATATAAAATATATATATATATATATATATATATATATGTATATATGTTAGTTATAATAAGTTAGATAGGCACGGAAGTCGTTGAAGTGTAGATTTATAGGCATCACTTACATTTGTTATACAATAAGTGGGTTTAAGTTTTGTATCGACAAGTGCTATAATTTACGTATAGCTGTTACCTATATGAAATAAAAGCATGACCATCTATGATTTTAATGTTTTTCATAAATAACTTAAAATGCATTAAAAAAATGAAGCCACAAAAACCTAAAGGGCATTTATCACCCAAACGCGCAGTTGTGTATTTCAATAGCAACGATTACTACAATTCATGTATCATCCCGCCGGCGCGCAGCTAAATCCATATAATATTTTTAACTTTCATTTAGATATCGTATTTATGACATTTTTCAATTACATCTATGGCATCGTGTACAATATACCTTTTTTGGTATCGAAAAACCTTCATTGGATATTGTGCAATAACTTCTCATTTGGCGCTTATCCAATTCTGTATATATTCCGTTTAACAACTGAGTATACATTATACACTTACATACTTTGTGAATTAGCACTCGCAGCGAACGGGATATAAAATCGAACTGGATACAAATGCAATGAATTCAAATATAGATCCCATTAAAGCTGCTGTTTTAAATATTTCAAACATGTACGTGTCCATTTATTTTATAATGCAACATTGCACTCTCATGGCCAGAACATGATAGTTTTTTTGTCTAAAGTGCGGTAGGAACAAATTATGTGCTTTTATTTTTGCATGGAAAACTACTTAATTTGATAATGCAATGAAATTAATTCTACTGTAGTTTTTTTTTTATTTAGACCAGGTGGTTCTAGTACTGCTTTCGTGATACTATGTAAATACGAGCATGTACATGCACAATAATAGAAAATTGCATATGATTAAATTAATGCAATAGTGACAGAAAAAAACAAATTGTCATGGTTTTGTTAATACATAAATGAAGAAATTATTTTTCATGCAAAACATATTTTTAACATCACTTTTAATACACGTCTAACCATAGAATTGTTATGCAACTACTTAATATCTACTATCAATTATAAAATATCTTCTCCTTTGGTAGATTCAATATTAGGTACATTGAATAGAATCGCAACAAATATTAGCAAAACTAGTTTAAATGGACATTGGTTGTGACGTTTTATAGGAACATAAAATCTTAAGATTAACTTAATGAACTCGAGGGTTCATTATATATCTATCCATCTCAAGAGTTAATTATTCAGTATACCGCAATGATCAGAGGTTTGGAGCTCAATGTTAAATACAAATTTTATACTAAACCATTTTTTACTATATTTACTCACATAACAGTAGATTTACCTCAAGCTATATACAAATTTAAAGTCTGAAACTTTGCACTTTGAAGATGCAACCCAAAGTGTTCCAAAATTTACATCTTCGAGATGATCATTTTCCTTCACACTTTCGTTGTAGATAAAGTGAAAGCTTTACTTATACATTCTATATCCGTCTGGCCGAGGTCTGGTTTGTATGCATCATAAATTATTCTTATTTTCAAAGTCGCGCATCGCAGAACTTTTCGGAATGGACTTATCGAACTTACCTGCAAAAGAGGGAAATAAAAACAGTTGTCTGTGAAACAACTATCCACATCGCCCATACCACCTTTTCCTCTGTTTTCAACTTTTTCCTCGAATTTCCTTTGCGAGTGTTAAACTTTCTCGTACGCGCAATGGACCGTGTCTATGCCAAAGGTGCGGAATAACTTTTAAATGCAATCGATTTTTTACTCCACGGGGTAATAAATTGGTACTTATATTACGTGTGAAAGGGATAAGAAAATTAAAAAAAAATATGGTATTTTATAGGAAATCAGAATACAGTAGCCCATAAGCTATTTGGCTTGATTCATTCACCAACAATCACATTTATGAACACTCGTATGAAATTATTGTGCTAGATTATGATATATCAATAGTTGTCACTCTAATAATTGAAGCACCAATTTTGTTAATTTCTTCAAAAATGGTAACGCTAATGGTCTTGAATACATTCCAATGGATACTTCTTTTTTAGTGTTCTTGAAACTGGTGTCTCAAGAAGTTGAGTGACTATATAATTTGTATGGTCTTCCTGTTTCAGAAAATTTTGTGCAATGTTTAATATTATTCTAAGTCTAAAATCTAAATAATTATCATGAAAAATAGCAAAAATTGATTGATTTTGAAATGCTGCAACACTTCATTCCGTTTTCCGATCAGTTCTCCGATCTTTCGGGGATAACACAAGAAGATATCATTAGAGTTCATACAAGAATCAATATTGCAGCTCGAGGCAGTTTCAAGTTTTAGAGTTTCGGCCGAAAATATTCGGAGTGAGTTTGAACGGTGAACTTTTAAATGGACAGCGGCATCCGCTCTCGAAAACTTTAAACGAAATTTTAAATAAGCTCACGCGGAATGATTTTATCACTTGGAGCGATACGTGTGCAGCCTGCCGAAAGTTTTGAGACATTTTTATTTCGAGTGATTTTTTGCGAGCATCTGCGACGTCTTATTTTAAGTTCGATTTTAAGATTGGACTTTGTGATAATACTTTTAAACTGACTTTATTTTGTAAGTTTAGTTTTATCGATATTACGTTTTTTAATACTTCAACGCACTTATTATTTTAATATTGATATAAAATGTAGGGATTATTGAACTCAAAGTTGAGGAAATCAAGGAACAAGAGTAACCTGTACATATAAATCTGTATATATATATATATATATATATATATATATATATATCTAGTGTGTGTATATTTAGTTTTCCTGTAGGCATAAATCGGTTATTCTTCGTAAGAGACATAAATCAGGTGCCCTGAGAGCGATTCGGTGCAGTTAGTTACGCAATGTTTCCGCAACATGGACACTGAATACTCTTGTCAATGGTTTCCTGTCTGGCGGGATTCAGGATAGATGTATAAATGGAGGATAGAATAGTATTACCAGGGCTTCCTTTTGATATAAAATGTATTGCTAATATAATCTGCTGTAAAACCCAGAAAATGGGGTTTAAATGGGAAA